AAGAGAGGAGAGAGAGAGAGAGAGAGAGAGAGAGAGAAAGAGAGAACGAAAAAAAAAGAAAGAAATAGGAACAGAAGAGGAACAAATGGAGAGCGACAGAAGACCAAGTAGTTTGCAAATACGATGGTAAAGAGGGTGCTGCGAGAGAGAACCGTCGTAAGACACAGCGACACTGAACGTAGATCGAAGACGAAATGTTCCTTTTATCTAAAGACGGGCAATAACGAATTCTTTACTACGATTCACAAATGTCTCTTCCCCCCTATGTTTCAATCAACGATACTCAAACTCGAATTAACTCGGCAGCAACTCTCGCGTTGCGGGCTGCCGGCTCTCTGACAGACTGCGATACCCTTTGCCGCTACCATGCAAAGACAACCCCCTCTACGAGGATCGTTCCGGTATCCCCACTAGCGATGCGCACTGACGCGATTAGTTCCGTTCGCGCAGTCCTCCAGACTGCCCGTAACATCTAGTCGTTCGGTTTATACACACATACACATTGCCACAGCATCGGAAACGTCGCAATGTAGGCCCCCATTTAGGTGTATAACGGGGTCCATACCACACTGATACATACAGATTGTATATTACATACTCGAATAGCCAGGGATACGAAATCGTACCACTTTAGTTCTCTATATACATGTGTACATGCTCATGTATGTGTGACTGACTGATATGACCGGCAAAGCCGGCCGGCACGGCACGATGTTAGAAAACGCCGGTATCGAGGGAAAGGACTTACACCGGAAACGAAAATGGAAAAACTAAAAAATATCATTGAAACTTGGAGGTCATCGTTGGTCATACTCTGCAGTATGGGTGCGGTTATTTAGGGGAAAATGTTACGGGGTGAAATAATGACTAGCTAAGAAACACGCGATATGTCCGTCTACGCCGGCCGGCACACCGTGAGAAATTAAGGAACTGCTTCTTGCTCGTAATTTATCGTTACTTATACGGCGAAACATTGAAATGCTTGTTGAAATAAATAAATTTAAAGTGGTATTTTTAATATTCAATTATTATATTGAAAAAGAAAATGTATAATAATAATTAAATAATAATGATATATAATTTTTAAAAGCATGAAATCTTATCTTTTGTAGATATATATATATATATATATTTTGCTATCTAAAATGATACAAATTTTAATTTTCAAGTTATCAATAAAGAATCATACTTAATTCTTATGAAAATTCTCATAATTCTCATAAAAGTTTTATATAAAATTGATTTCTTTTAATTTAATATATTAAAATAAAACTTAATATTTTATTAATAATAAAAATTAAATCTGTTGAAATTAAATCTATTATTGATTAAAAATATTTCAATTGAAATAAATATACACGTGTTTTATGTCTGTTACATGCATATATTGATAGATATGTATCGATTATTATTTATTTTGTATATAATTATTATATTACTATATATTGATTTTAATTTATTTATTAAATCTATTATTTTATAAAAATAGAAACGCAATAAGTATAAACATATAAACATGCGACAATAACTATATTATGTCATACTCGATGATTGCCACATATATTTGTCGCACTGCAGGGAGAATATGTATCTGTATTCCTTATATTCGTTTATTTTATATCATTTCGAAAAAAAAATGAAAAATGCATTTATTCATTATGAAATCGCAATAAATAAGTAAGAATAAAATTTATAATTTATAATTTGTTAAATGTTCAATTATCTAATAAAAACAAAACCAAAGAAATATAATCTTTCATTGAATTTTTTTTTTCTAAATTACAATCTTTAATTCCCATTTTCTATTAATTTGTAGTCTAAACAGTTTAAGCATCAAAAATAACTTTAAAAAAATTTCAACGAATGATGCGAATGTAATTATATTATTAGAAATTATTTATTATTATCGATTTAATATAAAACTAATAATTTCTTTTTTCAGAGATACAAATACTATGAATTTATAATTTATAGTTTCTTATTTTAAAAATCTTATTTTATGCGATCCAAATATATAAAAAAAATTTGTTTTTAATAAATAAATTAAATTTGTAAAATAAAATATAATATTTTCTAAAAATTTATTTTGAAACTATTTTAAAAATTTAAAAGATTATATTTTGAAGAATAATGTACATTTCAGGAACAGCTATGTTATGTAATGAGAACATTTTGAAGATATAGATATAGTTGATTGCAGCTATAATTTTTATCATTTTTTCACTTATTCTTATTTATTTACCAAATTTTTTGTGATTTATGTGTTTTTTAATTTCAACAAATATAATTATATGATAGCTATAATTAAATTAATTAATTACAGAAAAACAATTATTTATATTTATTTAATATTTTTGAAATCTAAATCATTAGAAATGAAAAAGACATGATAACGTATAATTAAAATATTTGTTGATCATACGGTCGATATATCGATTCGTTAGTAGTCTTCGATTGCCGCATTGCATCTCACAATCTTCAACCCTGTATCTATGAAATATCGTACCCCATTAATGATTTATTTCCATCCTAACTTTTCCAAATTCATGAATATATCAAAAATATTTTTATGTATTCATTTCTATTGTTTCAAATTTTTATTTTTTCATTTTTCTCATTGAAAAATATTTCGATTTATTTTCTTCTTTCTTTCTATTGTCGAAAGCATAATTATATAAATATATACATATAAATATGTGTATATATATAAAATATATATATATACATATATATATATAGAAAATTAAATTTATAAAAAAAAAAATACATTATACGTATAATATTTAATACACAATATTAATTAGTATTTCAAATTATTAAAACATTTTTAGTTTTCGTTTTTACTTTAAATGTTTCTAGTTTCCATAATATTTTATTAAAATATAATTTTAAATAGAATTCAAATATGATCGGGGTACAAATCGGAAGTTTTACAGTGCTGGCCATAGTGCGCGGCGCTAGTATTGAGCGGCACTTCTTACTAACCGTGTTGAGAGTATCGGAAACCAAAATATATGTAGTATCTCTTCGAGTCGGATACTGTCTCTTCTCGTAATGACGATGCGCTCTACGTTCCGCACTTATTCTATATCCCTATACAGTGACGTAACTAAATGCATTCATACGCAAGATATCGCGACGGCACATGTGACGTCTTGATGCACATGAAATCTGTATACGATTCAATTTACGATAAATTATTTCAACGATATACAACATTGCTTGATTACTTGGTTGAAAATTTTCCATTCTCAATATTTTCTTAAAATATATTTATTTTTATATAAATACAATTTTGTATTTTAGAAAAAAAGAAAAAAAATTAAAGCATCCGATAATATTTAAAAAGCAAATCAAAAAAGTAAACAAGTATTATAAAAATATTATTTGAATTTAATATTCTTATTAAAAAATAAAATTTAATTTTAATAATTTAATATAATAAAAATTTAAAAATATAAGTTCTAAGATGGTTCAACATAAATGCATATTTAAAATCTTTACTCAATGCTAGTGCAATTAAAATACTAATTAAAGAGTCCGTGACTAAAAACTTAGCGAAGCGTGAATACTAGAAATTGTTCAGTAATATGTGCACTTGTGCTTATTAAGTACCTTAGCATTTGCATCGGCATCGTTA